AATGGTTCTATTGGAATCAGCAGCTATCCAGTCTGTCATTATGATACATTTCAGCATGTCTAACTTGTCACCTTCTTTGCATACAAGCTGGCTAGTGCCCAATGGGTTTTCAAAGTTCTCCTTTTTCTCTCTTGAGTTTTCAGGCTTTTAGTATGAAATCGAAGGCTGAGGGGAAGAATGAGTGACAAAGTGTTGCCTGTTGAAGTATGTGAATTTCTCCAACAATCAACTGCACCACTAACACTTTCTTAGCTCTCCTTGCAGATGCTTTTTGACTGTAGAGTTTTAACAGGGAAGAGTAAAATTTTAGAGCCAACGTTTGAAGTGGCACCAGGGGACTAGGTTAGGGAAGGAGATATCATCACCATTGTAAATCTTAAAACAGTTTTAAGGGAGAGAATATGGTAACAAAAAATCAGTAATATGAGTAATCAGTAATAAGAGTGACACAACAACAACATACCTAGTGAAATCTCACACGTGGGGTTTGGGTGGGTAGAATGTGTGCAGACTTTACCAATACCTCGTGGAGGTAGAGAGGTTGTTGCTGAAAGACCCTCAGCTCAAGTGCAACAAATATAATACAACTAGTACAATTAGGTAATGTGGGTGAAAATTAAATAGGAAAGAGTTGTTTAGGGGAGGGGGGGGGGGGGGGGGTAGGAAAAGAAGACACAGGGTTTGGAATGTTATTCCTTTAGCTTTGATGTGGGTCCTTTGGAAGGAGAGAAATAGGAGAGCTTTTGAAGGGGTGGAGATGAGCTTTACTCATTTGAGGAGTAGTCTCCGATCAGTTTTTTTTTTTTGGTGCACCCATGTAGTTCCTGTTTATATAGAAGATTGGTGTCTTTTGGAGAGAACCATATTTTGTAGGTTTCTCCTTTTCTAGGTATACCTCTTGAATACAGCAAAGATGGTTTTGTTATTATTACTGAAATACTTTACCCGATAAAAAATAATGTCTAAGAGAATGGTATGATAAATGAAGATGCTACTCATGGAATCACGATAGCATGGTTGAAATGGAACTACTGCTGGAGCGTTAAGTGATAGAATGACACTCACCAAAGGGAAAGGCAAGGTTTCTAGACCGGTTGTAAAACCACTGATGTTTTATGGGAAGTGATGTTGTATTGGAAAGATGAGTGCCGCAAAAAACCAGATGTTAGGAGTGATGTGCACTCATATAAGAAAATCAGGAAATTTTGGAATTTCATGGTTTTCTAGAACCTTGAGATGTTAGTTTTGAATTCTCTTGACGCTTGTTTGTCACTTAGCTTGGGTTAGCTCTTCTGCTAGAGTGTTAAGAATTGGTGTAGAATGTAAGATGTGTTGAGTTCTTAAGCTAGTTATTGTCCTGTTAGTAATTGTCTCATGTGGTGTAAAAAATCTATGATTTTGGTAGAAACATAAGTAGCTTTTGTCTACCGGTCAAAGTTTCTGTTTAGTTTTGTTATGCATGTTTCTTCTAGTGAATTGTGACTGGCAGCAGCGTTAGTCCTATTTTAAGTGAATTATTTGGCAGGACGATGCCTTTTTCCTATGACAATTTAGACAGGACTCTGCCTGTTTTCTCTTGGACCGTTCTGGCAGCATGATGCCTCTCTTTAGCCTGTAGTCCTGCCATTCTTTTGGAGACTCTTCTTGCCTTTGTCTGACAAGTTTTCTGTATGGCCAATTTACTATTCTCTCAAGTGTTTTAACATTGTTGCTGTAGCTGAATAAGCAGATTCAATTTTGGGATCCTTCCTTGAGTTTGAGGGGTCTGTTACATTGTTAATTGTTAGTATTAGTGTTTGCCGTTCTCTTTTTTTTTGATAAGGTAAATAATTTGAAGTTCCCATATGCAAGTAGTATACCAAAATGTAGAGAAACCTAAACCACAATATGGTTCTCTACAAAAGTCACCCAATCATCTATATAAACAAGGGTCTGATGGGTATACCAAAAAAGAAATTAGAGACAGGAGGCTACTCCTCACATGTACAAATTAGAAGCGTTAAGTTCTTAAATTGGATATTGTCCTTGTTACATGTAGTGTGTTTGACATCTATAAATAGGTGAATCGTATTTATCTAATTTTGAAGTTCATTAATGCATTTCTTCAGTCATTTCTCTTTGCTTCTGTTGCATATCCGTCAAGGTTGACGGAGCTCCATCTTGTATTTATGCAGCCACCCCCAGCTCCACGCGCAAGGAGCAAATTGGACTCACTTATATATTTGCCTGAGTCTGTCAAAGCTCCAAAGCTTGAAGATGATGTTTCTGGGGGTAGGAGCCAATTCTCTCTCCAGGAAGGCCGTATAGAAAAAGGAAAAGAAATAGCGGACCAGGAAATTGAGGTTGATGCAGAACCTGAAAATATTGAAAGGCCTGTTGATTTGTACAAGGTATTTAGTCTCTTATTGTTCAAATCAGTTGTTAAAGTATACAGTTCCTTATTAGAGGAGAGTGTTCTTGCTAAGTTCTCTCTTATTTGGACCATCATGTCATAATATAGATTTTGCTACTCCATCTTTGTTCTAATTGATCACTTTTTGTATCAAGGACAGCAATAGTATCTCTATTATGTGTTGCTTCTAATTGTTCTTTGTCATGTCAAAGGTTACAAACTAGTGCATTAGATTACTTGGTATTTTTACGGAGGTCAAAAGGGACAGATGTGTGGAAGGTTTCTTCTCTCTTGGTATTTTTACGGAGGTCAAAAGGGATAGATGTGTGGAAGGTTTCTTCTCTTATTCTTTTTGGTTGATGTATAGATGGGGTGGGTTATTTCCTTCCCTATTTGTAGTTCATGGATGGGTGCAGTGGCAGTGGTTTGTTACTTTCTGATTTTCCATTTTTCCATGGAATTCCTCCCTGCTTTTATGTATCAATTTGGATAACCTCATTACCTGAGTTAGTGTTAGGGTTAGTTGGTTTAGTTTCTTAGTGCCTCACCTGAAAGGCCATCCCACCACCTATTGAGGGATAGTTTTTATTGATGTTAACTATTTGAAAAAATAGTTGAATATGCAACTGTATTAGTGTTGTTTCAAGGAGATAATTTTTTTCTTCACTTCTGTTTTCTTGTTCCCTGTTGTGGCAGTTGGATGGGTTTCTGGTGTTCGATAGATATTCTAAGAACAATCTGTTGATGAAAGAGTAGTATGAATTCATTTCTCTAATGTGCTATGCTTTATTTGCATAAAAGCTTACAACTTTTGTATTGGTTAATATTCATCTGTAGGCTATTTTCTCTGATGATTCGGATGATGAAGTGGAAACTAGCAATCAGGATGTCACAGAGGATTCACAAACGAAGGTTGAAGCTGTTAATACAACTTTAAATCGATTAATAGCTGGTGACTTTTTGGAGTCATTGGGTAAAGAACTAGGTTTGGAGGTTCCCACCGATATGCCTCTCCCAGATAACAAAACAAGTAATCCAGCTAAAAAGGACAGTGTTCCGTTAGATGTGAGAGCAAAGAGCATTAACCAAGATCCGATATTGGCAGTAGGAAATAATAATCAGAACATCTCTCAACAAGGTATATTTTCTAGAGAAGGAACTGTGGATATGAACTCTCGGAAAAACGGTGGCAGAGGAACTGAAACTGAAAGCTACAGGAATGGTATTGATAAGAATAAGTTTGAAGCGGAAGGTAGAATACATGCAAAAGCAAAAGGAGATCAGTACCGAAATAAGAACAGCAGTTCATCAGAGGATGAAACCGATAGAAAGCGAAAGCGGCCTCACAGAAGCAGCAGTCTAGATGCTTCTTCTGATTCATCCGAGGGTTACAAAGACCGTCGTTCAAGGTCAAGGAAGAAAAAATCATCTCAGGAGAAGAGTAGTAGTAGTAAAAGGCACTCAAAGCACCATAAGCATAGAAGGAGAGACTCACGAAGTCCTAGTAGACATTCCCGTCATGGTTCAGAAAAAGACCACAGAGAAGCCAAGAGAGAGAAGCGTAAATACAAGGACTGAAACATTTCTAATATATGACCTATTTGAAATGGATCTAAGGAGTTACTTGAAACTACTGCTGATTGAATATCTATGATGTCTCAGATAAATGGTTAGTTACTGCTGGAACAGTTCATGCTTCTTGGTTTTACTACTATGGTGCCCTTTTGAGTGCTATGCGTAGAGCTCTTTCTCTTTGGTCAATCTATGGGTGCAAGAGGCTGGATTCTGAAGTTCTCACTAGGAACATGCTTTTGACTTGCAAGATATGATATTGGTTCGGTCTGTTTTCCAGCTTATTCCACTGATCAAGCTTTTGATTGTAGCAGTTGGATAATGGTATGGCTGGTCTTATTTTTGTTTCATGCTTTACGTTAAAAAAATATTTTATGTCGAAGCATTCCAGCTAATTTCTTTATGAGGTCTTGGGAATTTGTTATGTATGTTTGTATGTGATTCCCTATTTAATACACGATTTAAGATGGTTTATCTGTTCATTTTTTCAATACTCCTTTTCCTTTAAGGAAATCCCGCACTGGAAACATCAAACGTATGTGATTTCCCTTTATGCAATTTGAAGTTTAGATTGTTTAGCTGATGCCTGCATTTTCTATCCTTTTAAATGAAAAGAGCCTTTGTAATGATGATTATGGAGTAATCCATCTGATTTCAAACTTGATGCGTTACAAGAAAGTACAATGATTTTTTATATTTTTTTGACTAAATAGGCAATAAGATAGTATAATGATTGACCTTAGGCTGGAGTCCCTTGTACTATGATTTGCTGCTATTAGTCTTTCTATAACATGACAACCTGTTATCATTTTCTAATAATTAATCTCACCTGCTGTGCTTGTATATTCCTATTGGTGGGTAATGAACTGTGAAACTGACTTGATTATTTTAATTGGAAAGCCTTGGTGGGGTTTCCAGTAATGGGAAGTTAGTCACCAAATTTTGTATCTTATATTTGCGTTAGCAAGATGATGAAGATTGAAGTAATCGGAGTCCGAAGATAAGCTGACTGCTCTACGCAGGAAATTTTGTGAAATTTGAGGGAAAAGAAAACAAAGTCTAAAATATACATTGATATGCAGAAAATTATGATATTTGTACAGCTGAGCTGATAAAAATAATGGAGTAATGAACAAATCGACCTTAGTTCATAAGACTATAAAATAGGAACTCCAAGAAATTCTGCGGCAGACCTAGCCATTACAGTTGCAAATTCATTAAAACTAATAACACCATCTCCATCAACATCAGCCTCTTTGATCATCTCAGTTAGTTCGCGGTACGACAATGGCTGACCCATTTTAGCCATTGATCCTGCCAGCTCCGCCAACGTAATGTACCCATTTCCATCGCGATCAAACGATCGAAAAACTTCCAAAAGCTGTCCCTTATTTACCAAAACTTCTCCATTAATCAAATCAGGCGTAATTGCATTGACAAGTTCATCAAATTCCACAGACCCATTTCCATTAGAATCCATTTTGGCAAATAGAACATGGATTTGGTCCCCATTGGGCTTTAGCCCTAATGAACGTAATAGTGCGGCGAACTCTAACTGAGTAAGGCTACCATCATTGTCCATGTCAAATCTTGAAAATATATTCCTTAATTGGTCAAGTTGATCAACGTGAAGCCTTGACATTATTTGTTTTCCTCTTTTGTTCATTATATTTGGGTTATATATATATGTTTTTGGTGTAATTATTACAAGACACGAAAAAGGAAAGGAGATAAAAATAGAAAGAGAGAAAAATTGGTGTCTCGGTGATGAGAGAGAGATGAGTCACTCTATAATTTGGATTTGGGAGGCTATATATGGGTTACATGTTATGATTTTTGTATTTTAAAAATTGGGAGTCGGTGGATTTTAATTTGTTTTTTAGAGTATGGAAGGATGGAGTTCAATGTATCATTCAAGAATCAAGTGAACCTTCCTACGCCAAGTTCTTTGAATTTTCTTAAAGTCTATACGTGGTGGCCCATTTCACTATTGGACTTAATCTTGTGCTCCTACTTCACCTTATTTTAATTATAAATAATTGTCAATTGTTTATACTTAAATGAGTTAACAAACGGATCGATTAATTTGGATGTGTGTTATGTGTTCGTATCAGATTATGTCCGCATTAACTTTGATCAAAGGGTTATTTGTTGTGTATTTATCGATTATGACAAACAAAAGAAATGATGAGTGTGTTATAATTCTACCATTAATATGATATTTATGTGTCGAGAAAAATCTTATGAAATACTGGATCCTACGGAGACACATTTGTTGAAAGAAAAAAAAATTCAAGAAGCAACACAACAGCCTAATCCGATTGAAATGTCCAAAAACTAAGTATATAAATATAATATTAGCAAAGGTGGTGAATATAAAAAAGACTATTCGTTGTCGTCAGGGGAAGAACTAAGTGGGGTTCGGATCAATTCAATAGCTTTTTTTAGACTAGAGCCGTCAATATGGGCTAGGCCCGTTGGACCGGCCTGGCCTAACTCGGGATTTAATAGGGCTGGGCTAAGATTTTTGAAGCCCATTTAAGAAAAGGGCTTTTTAGCCCGGCCTGAATAAGCCTGCTGATTTGTGGGGCTTGAAAAATATAGGTAGGGCCGGCCCGTGGGCCAAATAAAAATAATTTAAAAAATATAATATAATATTAAAATTTAAAATTAAAGAGAGTCCAAACTCAAAATCTATTTAATATTTAACTAATTGAAACCGCATATAAATTGCAGAAGAAAATGAAGATGCTAAGACAACCTTGCCACAAGATGATTCAGATATGCTTGATGAAGATGATCATGAAGTGTTGGATACGCCATAGATTTCATGATGTGTTAGATACGCCATAAGTTTCATGACTTTTTTTAAGGAGTTTATTTTTAACTTTTTTATGGTTGGAATATTGTCACATTTTTT